TAATCTGTCAGGGCACTCAACATTTAATTAAGTAGGTACTAACATAATAAATTAGTGGCAGCCATTATTCTTTTATGTTAGTATTTCATATGAAATTTTTTGAAGCAATTTCACATTTTGATAGATAGTGTAATAATAATTAGGTATTTAGTATATAGTTCGCCATTCCAACGTAGTCACCTTGACTGGCGGAAGCGTAGCGCATGCGCCGGGCGTCCTTACTCCTTTCAGATCAGTCTGCGCTTGCGCACGCCCTAGACAACTCTCACATAAAAACCTCCATACGTTCAATGTAAACAATTACATACCTCATACACACATTCACACTTACATTTATTGATGCAAAATATTTGTGTGTTATAGAGTTCGTTCGTTAATGTTGCCATTTGTACTTAGTATGATATACGAGTCACTTTTTTCTAACTGATGTAAAGATTGAAATTTAAACACAAATATTCGTACCGACATAGTTTATTTTTAGACCTCTTGCATTATTTGCAAAACTACAATTTTGTAGTCAGCTTAAATGATAAAAACACTGATACTGAATAAATTAATAGATGTATCTAATTACAGTGAAGTTCATTACTTACATATGTAGGTACATATGTTATGCTTCTAATTATCAGATCAAATTATTTATACAAATCACAATTCATTTTCGTGCTTCACAACGCATAACTTTAGCAATTAAAAGATTTATCAGTAGAACGTATATTTACGCAAACAATGAAAGAAAAACACATTCCAAATCATTCGTAAAGTAATTACTGTGTAGGTACCTACAGATAGATAATAATAAATATTATAGATATAAAAGTAAAATAAAGATTGATTCCATTTTTAAACTATATTAGGTACCATGCCAAATCAAAAATTGATTAGGCAATAACTTTGTTAGGATTGGTCAATTCAGCAGCCAACCTAAGTTTTGAGTACCTACTGAGTTTCTACGAAATCAACATATTTTTTCTTACCTGTATTCCATATATCTATCTTGGCTGCCTGTACAAAAGTATATACCTACACTCAAATGCAGCTCGATCTAGATCATACAATGCATTCAGCTTTCTCGACCGAAGCGAACAATCGACAATTTCCTTATTTTCTAAATACACAATGCGATTTCATAAAAGTAAGAATCGTAGACCATGCCCGACCAATTGATCATTAGTTGCTTCTTGTTGTTTGATCATATGAAATCGGAAACCTAATTAATTCTGCATGTTACCTATAAATTTTATATTATTTTGCCACTAGAATTTTGACTTGTGACTGTGTAATTTATCTATAATTAAGACTATCTTGACAGATTTTAGTTAACTCCAACTAACAAATAATTTGAGATACACTCGAATCTGCTCGATGGAAGGCAATAGTATAGAATTGTAATACATATTCATAATAGGTACAATATTTATCTTATAACTTCTTGAGTAACTATTAAGAACTTTTGCAGCAAAAAATACGTCAAGCTTTTAATCTTTCCACAGCCCATGAATTTTTTTACTCGAATGAAATAAATAAATTCGTCTTTATGGTAGGATTTTCTTTTATGTTCTAAATCAGGCAAGACAAACATGTTACCCCGATTAACTTAAAATCGCGGGTTACTCACGTCTATATTGAGAAAAGTAGAGCTTTTCTCAATAGTTTCGAACCACAGAGGGGTTCTTCCTCATGAGCAGCGTGCGCGTACGCAGCGACGTTGCGCAGCCTACTATACGAAACTACTAACCTAACCTAACCCGCGATTTTAAGTTAATTAATTTAGTATGTCTCACGATAATAATTACCCCCGAATTACCTAAACGCGAGCGAAGCGTGGGCAAAAGCTAAGCTATTTACCGATAAATATGTATCTTTACTTAAGATCTTAAAGACATTGCGAAAATTCCAATTCGATAGACAATATCATAAGATATTAATTAACACGCAACCTGTAGCACACGCTCATTTAAACGTAAGTTCGATAACTTTTTGTCATTCAGCACGTGAATAAAAATTACATATATTGCGCGATGTACATCGATTTCCGAAAGTAGAGTGAGTAGGTGCTATTTGCATGTTGCGACAATGTGCACAACTCAACAAGTTACCGGCTCAAAAGCAGACTACATCAGTACCGACAATTTCTCAATAACGATATGATTGTAGACGGCTGACATACGCATATAAAAACATGACACGATTTACCAAATAAATGGGCAATAAAAAATATTTCCTAATAACTAATATTAACATCGATTATTGCTTTGATATTGGTAGGTAGATTGTACTTATCTGTCTCATTTCAAGTATCTAAGTACCTACATAACTTTCTGTACTAAGTACCTACTCGTAGGTATACATATAGATACCACCCGTTACTTAAGCATTTTTTACAAAGCATTAAATAAATCTATACATAACAACCTACTTATATTTTTATAAGTGTAATAAAGTTAACTGTACGTAACTCTTTCAATTAACATCCTAACTCATTTTCTACTTAGTGCAAATCAGATTGTGCCCATGTAAACGACCATCTATGTGCAGAAATTCTTGATAACCTTTAGATAACTTTGTTGTTGAAACTAGAAACTAGCGACCATACCTTAATAAAGAGTTAACAGAACATTAGCATCAATTAAGTGCTACTTGCCTAAATACTTCAATGCATTTACATAAATGTTCTAATCCGCAGGAAATTGTTTCAAGCTGATGCAAAATTAGTTTTTGTTTCATAAGTATGAAAGTTATCGTTCGTAACAACGACAGGACTTGAGATACAAAAATTTGGATAGAGTACCCCCAGTAAATACTCTCGCCATTTGAGGACAAAATTAAAAATATTCTTAGTACGTACATCCTACGCCCGCATCAAGTAGGTCCGTTTAGAAACTCAACTAAGAGTTTCGTAATGTAATCAAATATACAGATAGGCATTTGTATAGTGTAACAATAGAATAAGAATAAGGTATGCGATAATATCTACATTCGTTGGATAAATTGAGTCAGGTGTTATAAACCATATTACTTGCAAGGTTCATGATACTTGGAAAGTGTGCCAGTTCACTGGTTGCGCTGTAAATTCCTTCGACCAAATTGGGCTTAAACAAAAGTTGCTCTATTAAATCGTTTGGTATGGCAAATCAAAAGTCATAATGATACCTCCCTCTAAGAATAGAAAAAGAGGGCTTATTCGATATTTTAATTATTTTAATGGTACACCAAATATTACATAGGTAACATTTGTGGAATTTCGTTAAAATCATTAATTAAACAAGTTTTAAAGTTTGTTTTTCTATTATTCCAGATATGTACGCTGTGCGTGATCACAGCTTATGCGCAATACAATGACTCTCCCGCCCCACCACGACTGCAGATACCGGGCGCAATCCCAGTCGGCGGTCCCAGGCAAGGAGGTTTCAGACAGGGACGCCTACAAGCTTCGCCACTCGGCCCAGCCAGAATCAGGCGACCGGGCTTAGCAAGACCATCGTTCAAATCTGTTGACGCTTCACCAAGACCGAGCCTTCAATCTCTCGATGAACCTGCAAAACCCGTCACTGAAGAACCAGAAGATGAATTAGAAATCAATACACCGACTGCCTTCTCTCCAAACATATTTTCCACGGCCGAACCCCAAAACGACTATTTCGACATAACGACCACATCTCAACCCAAACCTCCGATTGTTTACAACCAATCGCCGTTCCCGCAATCGACACCGTCGTCAATTCGCCAGCCACTGGAGCCTATTAAGCCTACACAGTACCGACCACTCCTCGCGCCACAAGCTTTCAACCCTGTCAGAAATGAACCGCTCAACAAGCCACAACCTGTGAGGCTGCAGCCTCTTTCAAGCAGACCCCAGAGGCCTGTTTTCAGACCCGAACCAAAACCATTCATTGAAGATGACGAGGCACCTCTACAACCGGTAAGACAGTACTCACGACCCCAAGAACCAATTAATAGGGCACCTGCCAAAGCCCCTCAACAAAAATACACACCCTCGCACCAAAGAGAGAAAAAGCCTGTCGCACAAATCATCCGTAAATACAGAGATGAAAATGAAGACGGCAGTATCACATGGGGATTTGAAAACGACGATGGATCCTTCAAGGAGGAGACCATCGGCGTTGACTGCATCACTCGAGGCAAATACGGGTACGTAGATCCCGATGGACTGAAGCGTGAGTACAATTACGAAACCGGCATTCCTTGCGACAAAGCCAAGGAAGAACAAGACGAGAAAGGTTTCGTAGATTACCAGGAAAATAAGGCTGTTTTACCTAATGGAATTACCATTGATCTCGCTGCAATGGGCAAGAAATCTAAGAGGCCATTCAGATCACCCGTAAATCATTAGGTTAAGTTTACATTAAATATATTTATTTTAGGAAAATCTAAATATAAGGACATTTTTCGTTGTCTCGTCATGTAAGTGTTATGTACGACATAACATTTCATTCAATTCAAGTGGTTTTTCGTGTGCCTTGAATGTACATATTAATGAAAGATGGAAATAATAAAAGTAAAAAAATAATTCTTGTTTTACTACTAAAGCATATGTTACTTCTAAGCTTCTAACAGCATCAAATGGCATGTAATCTAAAAAAGGTAATGTGCATATAATTAGTAAAATTAAAGAAATAAATAACTCCACTTCCTAAGACGTTTAAAAGCAAGCACTATGCAGATTTCACTTAAACCATTTCTACAAATAACAACTTCATCATATATGTGTCAATTGCTGCATGGTTGATGCAGGAAACAACTGCCATGCAAATGTGGTGCCTGTACAATTCCCAACAACTCCTTGCATGATCCACAAATTAATTGTTTTCTAGGTCTGAGAGAGATTTCTAAGCTCTTAAACTTATTTGAAAGAAAGTGAGAAAATCCATGTGATGTGAATAAAGTGATATGAAAATACTAACTATTTACTATATTAAACAATCTAAAACAGCAGGTTTGTTCAAGGGTTTCATAATTTGCTGATTAAAACAGAAAAAGACTTGTATAATTACTCATTTATTGTTTTATCTTAATGTTAACTTACAACTATGCAAATTTAGTAGGGGCGATTATTCATGTAGGGCTGTGCACGTCTCATAGGAGGAGGCATTCTATTTGGTGGTGTTATTGATATATCCAAATAATTCCCAATCTGGAACTTGACTTGACTTAATGTTTTATTGTCATCTCCTCCACGCTGTCCTGAACAAGTAACCCCAATCTCTCTCATTCTGTATGTTGGAGATCTCATATCTGGGTAGACGATTGCAAAATCGAAATATGTTCCTTTACGTCTAGTTTCTGGATTAACCTCTTTGACTAGTCCCGTCAGTTCACGAAGTGTAGCGTCCATCCATGTGTAAATCTGTAGTTCATTCTGTGGCACATTACCTCTTGCATAATCTCCAGGTGAATTATGACGGCCAGTTGAACAAAACACGCGTAATAGTAATGGACAAGTCTGTAACAAAAATAACACGCAACAGTCAATCAGGATACACAATATACACATCTGAAAAAGATACAATATAAACATTGATTTTACACATAACACCAGGGAATTTAGGTTAAACACCCGACATTTATACCAGCACGCATCAGAGAAGTTATTATTTAAGTATAATAATATAAAATGCATTGTTAATAATGGTATTCTTACCTTTTCTCTATCGACCGGTTTCTCTACGGGCTTAACCTCTTCAACTACCATGGACTCCAGTCCTGCCATTTTCATAATAGAATTTGTCAATAAAAATAGTAGTCACGTCCTGTATTTCTTTTTCACGATATTTTTAAATATTATTGATAAAATCAATGGATTTACAAAGCTAAATTTATTCCCCTTTGACAACTTGACAAGTAAACATGTTTTATTTGTCTATGCGTAGAAACCGTCATAAACTATAGAGAAATGTCTATGTTTTAACTATATACACTATCCTACATGGACCTAGGTCCATAATATCCGTCCAATACAATTCCATCCCGAATTTAATTTTTGTCTTTATATATAATGTTAATTTTGTGATTGTGTCAAGTCAGAACAAAATTGCGTTACCTACCGTGGCTGGATACCTTTTATGAAATGACTCAAACATGTTTCACACTTCTTATAGTCAAGAACTTGACATTTATAAAATGGTCATCATAACTTTAGGAATTTTAACCTATATTCTACTGTTACAAAGTAGGTATTAATAACACCTACCTAAATGAAAAAGATCGGATGTTGGAAAATAACAATAATATGACAGTTAATCGACTGCAACTGTCAAAAGGTATTTACTGACAGCTGACAGTTAAGAAAATAGTAGGTCTATCTAATCGATATAAAATAAAAATACATTCTGTGCGTTGATATTGATATTATGCTTTTATTTAGTAAATCAAATAAAATTGAAAGTCTGTAAATCAAGTGCGTGTTTTGTGTGATAGTTGCTATAATGGCTCACAAGGAGGACGAAGACTCATTCCGAGAAGACGACGTATACATCAATGCAGAAGATGGAATGCCTAACGTTCATCCTAATATTGCTAATTTAGAACAAGAAAGCGATGTGCAAGATGAAGTTGATAATTTCGATGACTTGCCGAAGTCTGTTATTGTAACAAACATACACAGCGATGTTTTCGCTGATGAAAAATTGAAGAAAGGAATGGAAGATTTATTCCGTACATTTTCAGATAATATAACGTTCCAGTGGCTACGCAGTTTTAAGCGTTTACGTGTAAATTATGACAGTCCATTGGCTGCAGCAAATGCTCGTGTGCAACTGCATCAATATCAGTTTCATAATTCGCCGATCAATTGTTATTTCGCGCAACCTGTCACGCCTGTTTCGATAAAGAATCTGAAACCTCCAGCCCCTGTAAAACAATTTCTGATCTCCCCTCCATCTAGTCCTCCTGTGGGTTGGGAGCCTCGTGAAGAAAATGAACCATTGGTGAATCATGATTTACTGGCAGCACTGGCCAGCTTAGCTCCTGGAGAGAGTCATGAGCTGCATGCACCCACTCCCACACAGCCTGCCATCATTGTGCACACTGCTGTGACATCAGAACAGAGCCCAATTGTAGCAAAGATACCTCATACTCGTTGTCCGGATTATTGAATGCCTTTGGAAATAAATCTAGTGACTATGAATTAGAATAGTAGTAATTATGAATGCTTTTTATTCAATTGCATGTCAATTTTTATGACAAGTTGAGCCTAAGACATTACAGCTGTCTGAGAGTTTGCTGTAAAGTGGAAGCTCCAGAAAAAATGAGCTTTAGAAATTTATTAACAATGTTAGACTAACAGAAGTTTGCTTGTTGAGATGGATATTCATTTAACAGAAATTACACATAATTAAATTGGTGCTATGTTTTATCAAAAGTATATTAATTAAATATTGCTTATTTTCACTTTAGTTACACATCTCACCATCATTTTGCAATGTGATTAGAGTTCATGACTTCATTATCATCTAAAACTCTACTAAAGTATGGACAATAGTTGGAAACATATCAAAAAGCAAGCCTTCTAAATATATATTAACTCCATAAATAAGGTGGTTGCTCAATGAAATTGGTGTGTAAATTCATTTATAATTATATTTTTGAATTTTTTTGAACACACTTATTTTAGTAATTCAAACAATTTATTTATATTGGAAAATATTGGCTATATGTACTTAAGGTTGGCTAACAAGAAAACTTACTAAATGCAAAAAAAACAATATTTACAATATTGAGATCTTACTATGAAAATGTATATTACACACATTTGTATTTAGTGTTAACTTGTGAGCTGGCCTGTTTTTTAACTTGCTCTCTTGTCAGCTGTCTTTAAAAATTGATTTAAAAAATATATAAATAAAAAATTGAGTTATTTTTTAACTTTGGTTGTATCATGTTTTTGTTGTCAATAGCAGATTGATAACATTACTCATTATTTATTTAAAACAAATTATACATATTCAGTTGTTAAGTAATCTCAATTTTTTATTGTTACTAACTTATTTTGAATTATTATTAGTTACCATTCTCATTTTGTAACCAAAATCTTTGCTTCAATTTTACTAAAAAAATATTGTAAAAAATTAGTAGCATTAGAATTTTGTGATAATATGTCTAAATAAATGTTAAATTTGTTGTTCATGTGGGTACATATGCCTAAAATATTTAAATGGTTCAATGTTAACTTGTATATTATTCATAATAATGTAATTGAAAATGAGACAAAAAATGGTAATTACATTTGATGTTCAGGTCTTTAAATATGTAAAGCCAAGTATTTAGTTTCAGCCATTGAACTTTTTAAATGTTACATATTTCTTAAAAATCAGGGAAATTATAAAAGTTAAAAATATGTACCTATTGTTAGAATTAATATTGTTGTAGTTTTTATAAAGATTTTACAAGTAGTAACTTGGCAAGCTTTCGGGGAAGCTGTACCTATCTCTCGAGATACAAATTAAATATTGTAAAAGTTCCTTTGTTATTTTTAGATATATTTATTTGAATGATTGGCACTGCACAGGCACTATTGCGAGGGCCACATTATATTAGTGTTGAATTTAAATGAACCAACTATTGCATTTTGTAGTTATACTTGTATTAACCCAAGGGTATGTCAGGCAATTAGTTACCTAGTAGTGATAACGCATACACATAGATTTACCTTATTTATTAAAGGCTTCAAAGACCTATTTAACACATTAACGTCATTGTTGTAATCAGCCATGTTTGGCTCAGATGAATATTTTGATGAAATTGTTTCCGAATCGGACCATATTAAAAAAAATGTTAAGTTTTCGATGTATTATACAAATAAATTTTAGCCAAATGCAATGGTTATGAAAAATTCTATTATAGAAGATTTTTAGTTTATCTTTTCCTACCTATCTAGTAACTTATTTATTGGTATTAATTTATTTTTCGAAAATTACGAATTAAAACAAATAATTTATTGCAATTTCTGAGAAGGACTGCTGTTTTAGTGTAAATTCGCTGTCTTAGTGTTTTCACGCACTAACTACTAGATAATATTTTCGTAATATTTATCGTAATAAATTTAGAGCTTCTAGTGCATATGGTACCTACCATTTGGATGAAAAATATCATTCAATTTGTTGTAAAGATTAACACCAAATTAAAAATAAATTACCTAAGTACTAAGGGAAAAATAAACATCTCATTTACTTACGTTAATAATACGACTACAAATACATTAAAGCATTGTCATCTATTAAGTTACGATAGCGTAAAGTTCCCCGCGGGCTTAAAACTTAATTAAGTACAAAATATGGAATAATCAATCCCACGTTACCATAAAAATACCAAATCCATCCTCGTGTATTTCAGTTTTTAGTCTGCGGTGAATCCAAATCAACCATAGGTATTATTGGCAGAATACATTTTATATAATAAACTATCTATGATATGTCTGTACATTGACTGAAACACGAAAGAATATCAGATCGACTGGTAGGTATAAATTACCTCCTTTTAATCTCCTATTAATTTCGTTAAAGTTTCAGGTTGACCAATCTTCAAACTGCTTTCTTTTGTAAATAATTGCTATTCAAAAACCACGTACCATCAGCCAAGTTACTCGGTATGCAACAAGGCAATAAAAATTGTTTCAATACAGATATTAAAACCATTGTGTTACATAAGAAATGGTATCGCTAATGCTCCTCCTGTATAGAAATAATATTTATTTTCCTTTTAAAATTTCCAAGCAACTTAGTGCTGACTGTACTTATAGGTGCCTAAAAGCGGCTCGTTTAAGGGCCTGCTATATTTTGACATCCATAATTTAAAGTGAAATTTTAAGTAGATTTACGACTAAATTTCTTGTCCGTCATCTTTGAACAGGGGATGGCCCAAGTCTTGAAAAACTTAAAATTATTTATGATCTTTACTATTTAAATCTGTGTTTATAATATAATTAGCGAATTTTCTTGTGTAATTACTAAGTATCTACTTTTATAAATATTCCGAAAAGCAGCTCAGATTATGTGACTTTGTCCATTTGCTTTAAAATTAACTAGGTATTGTTTAAGTAAACGATGAGATGGGCTGTCAGCGTGCCAGGATATTATGTCTACTGTATGTACTGTTTCTATATGTCGAGAACATTCTATATGTCGTTAACTCCTCTCCTTGTACAAAAAACTTCAGTGTAAAAGGGTTTTTGCCCGTTGTGAATCATTAATATTTACCTATGCTTATCTTCTATATGTTCGTTGTTCATACATCGATGTATCATCTATTGATGTTTTTAATCTCACTGTGATTTTCATTATTGTTTGTGTAAATATAAAATTATAATGAGTTTTTTAACGACTTTTATTAAATAAAACCAACACTAATAGTGTAAATCATATCTATAATTTATTTTATGTACATTTTTTTACAAAATAATTTTAATACAACGAATTTCTTGTAACTACAATATCTATTAATATCACGCCAGATCACGAGATTCACGAGCACCAGTATGCTACCAATCTAATTTGAATATCAACACATAATTTAGATAAACAATAAAAACACAAATAACAAAATAGTTTAATCTCTATAAAAATAATCTTAACATCTTATTGAATAAGGTATTTGTTTTGGTGATGCAATACTGCCAGGATAATAGATGTGTGAATGTTGTCACGAAATAGCTCCAGTTCTCTATCTAGTTTGTTCCAAAATTCACAACAAGATTCTCCTTAAAACTAATTAAACACTCAAACTAACTTAATCTCTTGTTAATATAAGAAAATAGTACATACAACTGATCTCACACGAGTACTAGGTACCTACCTAATGTACTTTGTTCGATCGTTTAATTGTATAATTTATTCACTTATCTACATAAGCTCTTATGTTGTTCACTTACTTATTATATACGTAATTAAAAAATATACATTAAATTATTATCTATTCAACCAATAGGAATCGAGGAACGATCAAACTTTTTTACTACCATCCTCTAAAGGCATCATTGATTCAACCACTTTGTTGTCTTCAGAATATGTTCGTTGTCTTTTGTTTCCTAGGCAACTTGCAAAACATGTGTCGCCTTTGCCAAACTGTTCACCATCAGTGAGAGACTGAGGCATGGGCTGGTTCATAGTTTCGGGCAGGAACATACATAGGAATCCTGATATTACAGCTACTGCACCAAATGTTATAGCCGGAATTTTGGGGTTGAAAGAATCCAATAGTGTTATAAGTGGTGTTAAAGCACCAGAAAGCCTAGCGCACATAGAACCTAGACCCATAGCTGAGTTACGAACTACCGTGGGGAATAATTCTGCAGAATAGTTGTATATTATAGCGAAAGAACCTGCTATGAATAATTTACCTGCAATGACAATCCCAGTAGATATCGTACTTCCGGTAGGTAAAAATGTAGCAATTACGCACGCTGCACCACCCACCAGCATCATAGAACTAATCAGGGGCCTTCTACCCCAAATGTCAAGGAAATATATAACAGCAGCATAACTTGGCAGTTCCACAAAACCTAAAATAGCCGTAATCAAATAAGGATTGCCCTCAAGTTTACCTGTACTTAAAGTAAGACCATAGTAAGCAATCGAGTTGGCGAACCAACAGAAACAGACGTTCAAGGTTTTATTTCTAAGATTAGGCGTCCTAAACAGATCTCCTGTACTAGCGGAAGGAGCATCTGTTCCCTTCGATGCTTCAGCTCGGCCTTTAGAAACCAGTTCGGCTCTATCCAAAGTAAATTCAGATTTGTTGCACTTCAAAGCTCTTTCAACAATATCTACTGATTCTTTCGACCGGCCTTGAGCCCACAACCAACGAGGGGATTCGTCCATTATCCAGATATGTGGGATAAGAAGGAGACTATGAAGTCCATATATCACTTGAAGAATTTGTCTATTATCAATAAGGGCGCCCCACCCTGCGACTAACATAATGCCGCCCGCAAATGCCGCTTGAAAAGCGACACCACACGCAGTTCTCTTACTGGCTCCTACTAATTCCATGGTTAAGACGAATCCAGTAATGTACGAACCAGCAGACCCAAAGATTCCGTAAACAAAGCGAACTGCTAAAAAGGACCAGTACTCAGGTATAAAAGCAACCACCACACCAAATACTAACTGTAGTACTCCGGACCAACAAAATATGGTCTTTCTACCGTATTTGTCAGCCATTCCTCCTAACACTACTGCTCCAGTAAAAACTCCTAACATATAAATAGATTGAGCTAGAGCACCCATCCATCTTCTATCACATACGAGATTCCATTCCATGGCACGCGAAGACGTTCTATACCTAGTGTCGAAAACAAATTTGGAACACGTTATTGTATCATTATTTTCATAAACGAAGCAGTTAGATAAACCTCCTGATACTGTTTTAGGTATAGCAGCTAATATTTCAGAAGAATTCCATGCCGCTACAGATACATTTGTATCCACGCCGTCGACCCAGCATCTGCAAACGAAAATATGAAAGTTAGTTTCTCCCGATGCCTTATGGACAATGTCGTCTATATGTTTTTGTACTTAGTATGTTTTGTGTAAGATTAAAGGCACATTTTAGAATAACGCATTTTGAGTGAGCATTGTCCGTTTTTAAAATGTAAGTAAGTACTACCATTTGGTACTATTTACGCAATGTTAGGGTCTAATTTCCGGGGTTGCGGGTTAAGCGCAATAAGATGATTTACACTCAAAAAACGTCGTCGTCTTTATCCCATAGACGTGGTTCGCAAATATCATAAAGCACCATTAATTAATAAACATTTAATTCCTCCTTACCACACGCTTCCTAAAACGTGCCTTACTTCTGTAATGATCCGTAAAAATGTTAAATTTCATGAGGCGCCTACTTCCTTTTCATAGCAATGCTCCGTTCCAAGTAATTAATTACTAATCGAATTAGTAACGTCCAACGGCTACTGTTACAGGAGGGAGACTACGTGACAAATATTAGGTAGGTGCTTAGATATATTATTTTTATCGTTTTTAATAGATAGGTCGGGCTCACGAGTAGATGGATCGGATGGTGAGCAATTGGCGCTGCCCTTCGATACCCGCACATTGAGGAATAATACCAGTGCCTTGCCGGCCTTATTGGTTAAAGTTTTGAGGACCCCACTTCTCAGGGATTTAGGGATTGCGATGGAAAAGGAGAACTATGTAGGTACGTTCGGTAACCTCACTTTTAAACTAAACAAATGTCAGAGTCGTTATACGCAGCTTTTCAGTGAGGTCGTTGTCGATCTCCGATCGAAGCATTCGTGCCAAAGCAAAAGAAAATTAGGTACCTACAAATGTATATAGCAAAATGCTCATAAATCGTGACAGTGGTATTTTTTTTTTTAAATTAGGAATTAATTTATTTCGTAGTTCATTAGGTACAGCTCTCGTTGGTCGGTTTCCCACACCAGAAAAAAATCCGTCTTTTTTCCAAAACAATTACAGGGACGGAGGAAAATTGATCCAGATGTCACTTCATATGAAATCAGAATGCTTTTACTAGATAATTTACATATTACATAACTAGGTATAACTAATGGAATAATCGGTGCTTAAGAGATTTTTATCCAAATTGTTAGTGTAGCCAAAAAGGATTTTTTTTAATGTATATAAGTTTTCTATACTTCATAAACTAACATTAGATACCTGATCTAATCTATGGGTACACACTAACGCATTTCTAAATCAAAGCTATTGAAATTACAACAGGCACACATAATTAAAAAATCTTGGTTTTCACTATGACCTCCTTCCAACTTGTAAATAGCAATGACATCCTGGCTGTACTGATTGCTTTTATATTTTAACTATTACATAGTTTCTAAGGACCTTACTTGTTATCTTAACTTACACATTTTGAATACAGCTGAAACTTTACATGGCGTAGAAAAAACGACAAAAAAACACAACCCTTGTAAAAATCCTTTATTAAATTCGTTTACACCGTGTATTTTACGCTTATCCTACATTGACATAGTCTTTAAAGTCCATTAGTAAATAATGATACTTACACACATAAAACAATATATAGAAAATAAAACAGAAGAAACATTTTTAGCAACCTCAATGCGTTTCTTAAAATATTGAATGTTAATAATTACCAACCATTTATGAAAAAGACTGTTTGATACCAAGATTAATAAACAATTATCTACTTGTCCTAGTTCATTGAACACAATACAATGTACAAAAAATGTACCTAAGTACACTCAAATAGCTAAGCTATCAGCTTCACGATAAGTATTAATCCTTTTCTGTGAGTACATGCATAGCTATTATGCATTTTAAAATACCTTATAATTGATGTCACTTTTCATTAACCGTTTACAACCATAATCTTACTAGAGTCAGTCAACTTGTAAAAAAATTAATGATTGAATATAGCAATAGTTATTGTTTCTGTCTACCGAATGACTTGACTGATTGTAATTTCAATGTTTAATAATGCCTTTAATTACTTCTGAAACTTCACACTATATTTCACAAAACATTCTCATTCAAAATAATTGAAATATACGGCTCATATGATACTTTCTACTCATGAATATGAGTCCCGGGCTGACCTGAAACTATTCGAGTCTTTCCTTAAAAAACCATCGTAATCAGAATCATTTCATGGGTTTTCGTAATAAAATCGTTACGAATAGTGTAGGTTAATAGTAGCTAATTAAATGTTGTTTTGAGCCGTATATTTTAATTAAGAAATTCATACATTCTATCCATTCGTTCTTTGGTCACTTATTCTTATCAATTCACAAAAAAAGTATTTTACTATTAAAATCTTTATTTATTCCTGTAATTTAATTTAGTTTTAATATTTCCCTGTTTAAGTGATACCTTGTCTTAATTTTCATGACATTTCTGTTCAGTTACTCACAAAATCTGCACACTATGGGTAAAGATTTACATATACATTAATTTTTCATTAAATTTATAACGGCTATTGTTTTGTTCAGTCTTGGCACTTTACATAAACATTAAAAAAAACACTGTGTTACAAATACAGTAGAGATGAGGACTCAGTCAAAAATTACCTAATATTGTATCTTTAATAATAAATCGCTTTAAATATTTGAAAAAAAATAAGGATTATCATTGATAAATTGAATTTAAAAAAAAAATTAAAAAAAAATTGAATTAGTTAAAATTTCAAAATACTCATTATTTTTCTTACATTCTCATTCGCCATGCTGTCATGATCTCCATTTCATAAGTATCAATAACACTAGCGATTTTTATATAATATATATATAGGTACCTAATTTATCCATTTATGAAGTTCGTTAACAATACATACAATAACACAGATATAACAATAAATATGTTGATACTAATGAACACTGGAATATTTTATACACGTACAGTGCTCTGTTACCAAGTCATAAAATGTAAAATGGGAATTAGGTAAAGAAAGCTAGTATTAAGAATCCACTTATTTATAGAAGACGCCTAAGTCGTACTAGATATTCAGATAGTGTCACCGATGTAGCTAATGTCTTTAATTTGAATAAAGTGTTAAACTTGTAACTTTAGCGACTACTACACTACCTACTACTTCTACTACTTTATTCTTGAAACAGCTTACTTAGATACAGTGGTATAAGGGCAACAATTCACTGAATTAAATGATACAGGTTTATGTAACAGATAAGGCATTTCTTAACATTCACAAAATTCCAAAAATGGAATCATCTTATTTCTAAACCGCTTCTAGAGTTAAGCATACACATAAATGACTTGCTCATTAACGTCTAAATGCTACAAAATACCCTTAAGTTGCTTTCTAAATAAATTAATTACACTCATGCTTGAAGCCTACGTATGTATGTACTTATTTACTAAGTTATTAGTAAAATGTTTCGAGCACAAAATGGCAGTGCTATGATGAGTATGTATGTTTAACTTTTACTGGATTGCTGATAGCTGCAGGGTAATTGCATTATATTTACGCGGGTATTAACGCGGAAAATTATAATTTGAATACCTTGGTAGGCTTGACGTTTCGACCCGGTTGCACAGGTCGTGGTCACAAGCAGACTCACTACACACACACACACTACATACGCGTAAATATAATGTTGTTAAGATGAAACGCGAAAGTTTATAAGTTAGTGCAGGGTAATTGGACCAAGACAAATAATATTTAATGCTTATGAAATAAATCAATTTGTGTAAATAACTTCTTACTGTTAATTTAATATCTATGCTTGGGTTGTGTTTCGATTTAATAGAGCCTTTTAATATTATGTAAATGTGAAGGAAGAGAATGAATCTTTATAGCAATAGGCTCACAAGTTCATTCATTCATTATTACCCCGCGACACAAGGGCGCCTCTAAATGTAGCATTGTTCCAGCGTAGGCGTCACGTAGGCGTAGCTAGGCACAACGCTTTGGGAAATTAGCGGAAATAAATCCTTTTTTGTTCAGAATTTCTTTCTTATTAATTGTATATTTATGTATTGTTTTGTTTTACCCGCTTATAGTATAAAACGGGAGATCTTTATAATGTTAATGTATAAACGTAAACGTGTTACATAATTCTATATAATTTAGCTTCGCGTCTACGCAACGTGTAGCAAAACGCCTACGTCGCATTTGTCGTAGCGTGACTACGTGGAATGTAGTAGTACGCCTACGCCGCGTTTAGCATAGATACTACGCAGTATGTAGCGTAACAACTACGCGACTTGTCGCACAACGACTACGTGATGTGTTGCTACACATGGCGTAGTCATTAAAGGCTTTACGAGAATAAATCCTATGCTTTTATCTACTCCATTCTATTTTCTACTCCAACTACGTCCTTGTGCCTTACCTATTCACTGGTCAAATTCCAAATAGAAAATAATTAAAAAATAGATTAGCCAAAATGACTAGGCGAATAAGTAAATAAAAGACCAGATTAGTAAAAAATCTTAAAAAAAGTATAAGTTCTACGTATTATATGTTTAGCCAACTGTCTAAAGAATGAAAACGTAGCAAACACATCTAATTTACTTATTCAATCTTAATCAACAAAAAAATACATTTCAATCTGTTTTGAGTGTATAGTAAAATAGTCATAACTTGTGCGTATTTAACCTCTATTTTCCAAGACACTACTAGTTATTAGAAACCTAAATTTCAAGGAGAATCTTAATATTAACTACCGATTAATTATTACTAAAAATACCTTACGTTCTACTTGTTAATTTACTGCCAGGTATGAAATCTTTGTTACTTCGTATGATCACTAATCAAAGAATGTAAGTACAATACTAGATACGCCATTTTTTATAACTATTTGACCAAATTATTAATGAAAATCTTAATATAATTTATCAATAATTAATAGCTTAGAAAAATATAATGTCAATGATACTTTTTTATTATGTTGTATTTGCAGTATTGTACTTAATTTCATCAGCTATATATTGTGTACATTTAATTGTACTTTTCATTGTTTACGTATAAGAAAAATATTATACATATGTATATACCTGTAATATAAGTCCACATTGTTATTATTCCTATTTGTTATTAGGATAATCATCCAGTCTTCAGCAATACCGTTCACTCGAACGCGGCTTGCCATATCAACACTTGACTAGACAATTTAAAACATAACAGTTATCCTATCGTCTTCTAATTACGTACATAACCACTTAATTATAAATTTCATCGCAAAACAGTAACAGTTATATAACACCAGGCAACTTCACAGTATAAATTAATGTGTAGTTGTGTACAAAAATATTGAGCAAAATTCATAAAATGCAAACTTTACGTATTGTGTGAAATGAGACATAGTCTTAAGTTATTACAATGGCCGTATTTAATTTATTGCTTATTCTTAAGACTCAGTTTCTGGACTTTAGCTATACAATAGCTTTACCTACAGACCTCACTATGCAGTACAGTCTTTACGGTTTCTTCTCCATAACTTCTAACGGCACCATGGTTTCTGGCAAGTCCACGGTGTCAGTACTCATTCGTCGACCACTGCAGTTTGTGAAGCAAGTGTCACCAACGCCGAACTTCTCTCCGTCTTCTAATGATTGTGGCAAGTTCCTACCAATTGTTTCGGGAAGGAAGTATGTGGAGAACCCAGATAGTAAAGCCAAAAATCCAAATAATATGGTAGGTATTTTAGGGTTAAGTGTGTCCAGCAAATTAATAAGTGGCGTAAGAGCGCCCGATACACTTGCGCACATACTGCCCAGCCCTACTCCTGAGCTGCGCACAACCGTCGGGAAGAGTTCTGCAGAATACTTGTATATGATTGAGTACGAGCCAGATATAAACAATTTACCTACCATTACGATGCCTGTTGTTGCAGTAGAACCATGGGGTAAAGCAACAATGACTAGACAAGCGACTCCTCCTAACAACATCATGGTGCTGATAAGCGCTCTGTGTCCAACGCGGTCCAAAAAGTATACAATAAGAATATAGCTGGGTAACTCTACGACACCCATTAAGAACATGAGGAAGTAAGGGTTTCCGTTCAGTTTGCCAGTATTAAGTGAGAGGCCGTAGTAAACAACAGAATTTACGAACCAACAACCGCAAATGATCAGAGTCTTTTGCATCATTCTTGGTGTTTTGAACAGGTCAGTAGTTCCTGCAGAATGTTCATCAGTATATTTGGCACAAGTCGCCTTACAGTGGGAGACTAGAGCTGGAGTATCGACGGGGTCAGTGACTCCATTAAATTTCAGAGCCTTCTCAATGATGGCAACAGATTCACGAGCACGCCCCTGAGCCCAGAGCCACCTTGGGGATTCGTCCATAATAAGCCAGTGAGGGAGCAATACCGCTGCGTGTAACGCATACACTATTTGCAAATAGAATCTGTTATCTAATAAGTATCCCCATGCGGCCAAAAGCATTATTCCAATGGCGAACATGATTTGAAACGTGACACCACATATAGTACGCTTACTTGGGCCTACTATTTCCATTGTCAAAACAAACCCAGCTATGTACGATCCTGATCCAAAGATACCATAAAGGAATCGAATAATTATGAAAGTATAATAATCTGCGGCGAAAGCAACGGAAGTTCCTAGAAGAAGTTGAAGGATTCCAGACCAGAGGAATGCTTTTTTTCTTCCGAATTTGTCGGAAAGTCGCCCAAATATAAGCGAGCCAGCCACCACGCCGAACATGTAGGCAGTCTGTGCTGAGGCTCCCATCCACCGACGGCTGCACACGAAGTCCCATTCGATGCCCCGAGACGACGTGTAATACCGGGTATCGTAGACCCAAGAATCACATTCTACGATAGTGTTATTATCTCCATACATCCGACAGGAGTCGAGTTTCCCATGCTCGTTGAGTGGAATGGCGGCCTGAACCAGAGACGAATTAAATGGCTCCGTATAGTTTGCACTGTCAATCCCTTGCAGGTAACATCTGAAATTCGAAAAACGAACTTTTATTGTTCTTACAATATTTTGGTTAATTTCGTGCTGAGGCCGAGCGTGCGGTGCATTAGGTTAGTTGCTGTTTTATTACTTCACGCCATTCTTATAAATGTGGTTAGACCTGTTTACGGACAAAAGGGTGCAATTTTTCTAACTACACTAATAAAAGCCGTGTGTTACGACTAAAAATAGCAATAAAGCACAATATCTACATTATCTATTTCTACAATTTAAATTTAATCAGATTTACTAAAGCTTTAATTTTATTTGACAACAATTTGTTGTAGGTAATAGTAATTGCTCTTCATTTAACGTCAAATAATAATAAGATAATAAAAAGAAATACCATGGTTTCACGGCATGACTCTCGCCAGTGCATGTGCACTTTGGAAAAGTTTTAATCTACAATGGCAAAACATGTTCGATATGAATATTCATTTAATTCACGTGACACACGGAAATGTGTGATTTAGTGCCTAGCTATAGTGTGTGTAACTTATCGCATAAAGTGAAATGAATTGACATTGTATGCATATTGAAAAAAGATTAAAAAAAGTTCTTATAATTACGATACAATATCAATTTACGATCATATCTTTCAGATAAACAGGAGTTCATACTACTGTTTATACACGACACACAAAATTATGAGTTTGTTTGTACCCAGAACCATAAAATTGTTAAAGATGATAGATAAATGTTTGTGATACGGAATTGAAATGTTAAAAAAGCGACACATATAGCAAACCATAGCCCGAAACATAGACAATAGTACGTTACAAAAGTATATACTTACGTTGAACATACCAACATATAAACGTCACCAATAATAATAATAATCACTTTAAATCCTTGTAGAGATATAATAACGAACACCAAAGCCGTTCCCAACTGCCCACCATCCATCAGATCAAGCAAACTTTACACGCTGTGTAACCAAAAGCATATAATGTTATAAGACCCATACCATATCATTGTAGGAAAATCTCTATATAAGGAAGTTTAGCCTAGATAGATGGACTATACACAACAATACAATACCATTTTCCCGGAGCCATTGAAACAAAATATGTCACAGATATCCCAAAATATGTAGTTCGTGGTATGAATTTTCCTATCCCTGCATGCACATGCATAATACCTAAGTGCTCCTGTCTCATTGCAGTTACCTAGCCTTCGATAGATATTTGACTGATTAATGTAATTTAAAAAATGACAGGACATGGCTAATTCGCTAACAATGATCGTGTTGACTTGTGCATAACGTAATGATTTGTTTTATCTCGTGGTTTTACATAAGTCAACAGCAGATTTTATCGCAAATATGTGATGAATGGCCATCAAATATCTGTCTTTACATTATTGATTCCCGAGTTGTTGGTTTGTGAATGATGATGCAACTGACCTATGTTCCGGTACCGCAGCCACTGTGACTAGAGACAGCATGTGCATACCAGCCGTCATGGCCGCCAAAATGTGGAGGATGAACTGGAAACATTGGTACCGCCCGAAGTCACCTGAAAACACCAAAATATAAAGATCAAACAAAGAACTATTGATTTTCAGCTAAGTTTTCGGTTGCTATAAATAAACTATTGCGAAGGTGACCCCGTCTTATGGATGGTATGGTTATTTAGGTTACGACAATATTTTTCTTAGTAGATAAGATAGGTTGGCGACACAACCATGGCATTTTATAATGTTAACCGACACCCGGAATTATACTGTCAATATCGTTACGTTTAATTTTTATTAACACCGTGAGATATGTCGGAATAAATTACATATAAAACAAATGTTTCATAAAATTTACATAATACATTAGCATAGCATATCTGATTATGTCGTAAAATACAAAACATTATCTGTAATTTAAATTATAAACATTGAAATAGGTAGGCGTGGATGTTTGGAAAAATACCCTTAAAATTTTACGGACTGAGTTTACCTAACATAAGATCTCTTCGTTACTACATACCTATTCATTGAACAAAAAGTACTTATGTACATCAAACTACAATGTCTAAATGTCTATGTTTACATTTTTGTGTAATTAAATATCTACTTTATTAGTTATTTATGATAATTTTAATTTCCATAGCCACTGCGAGGACGAATATATTTAAATATGAATGGATTGTTACGTCATAGACTAATAATGCTATCCTCGTTGGGCATGTACGAATACACGCGGCCAGAGTTCAATGGTCGATTTTTCCAAATCTTAAATCTACGAGAAACTTGCACATGTAGAATTTATATTACGGCCACGTTTTTTTGTATTATCTGTACTGTAGGTACCTAACGTATTATGCCACATTAATTAAACCACATAAAAGTTTATAATTATCAACCTTATTATGACTGATATAGTGTTACATGTTTGCGGTAACGAGGTAGTTTAATAAAAAAATAATATTTTACCTTGAACCTATTTCAACCCATGTGGAAGACAATATTTTATTTAGAGGTCACATTATTTTACATATTGTATTTATGTAAATATAAGATAGGTACGTAGCAACTATTGTACAAGCGAGTTACAGAATTCTTTCCGTGTCGTTTTGGCCATAAAAATCTTGTTCCTTCTTGTACAAGATTTGTACAGCAAACTGCGAATTGCAGTGACCGTATCGAGCCGAGTACTAAATATAGCCCTACACGGTACCTACTATTATGGAAGGATATAAGTAACGCAATTAATATCAACCGCGGTACCGGTTTCTGCCAGCAACCAGAAATATGTCGGCGCTTACAATCACACCTGTTATATTCATATGGAATTTTGAAAAAAGAACAAATTAAATCTGCCTGTTATCGCGGTAGTCCGGGTCATTGATTTTTTTTTTGACTAAAACAAGCGTTTATGACGAGAATGTGATAATTGCGGTAACACGTTATCTCACGTTCGTTTCAATTTAAACCTTTTTGTTTCTTTGTAAGATTTAATCTTATATTTACTTCTTAGTCTATAACATGACAATTAAAAGGGATCTTGTTTGTGATAATCTTTAGTAAACAGTCATAATCTCATTATACTAAAATAAAAATTTACAACCGCGGATACGTGTGCACTATGCACGTTAAGCTGGCTACACACTTAAGATATTAAAACTTCAACACACCAGTGACCGTGACAAATACACGTGGCGAAACAGAACGTTACTATGTACCCAGTATACAATATGTGACACGGCTATTACAACTTTTGCCTCGCATAAACTGGAAAAAGAAACTAGCTACTAAAGGGGAATGGTCCAGGCGAATAATACATTGTAGACTCATCTTAACGTTTCATAATCATAGAGACAGAATTAAAATAAATGACAGTTGAGGCGAGACAAAGGAGTTGCGTAATATCATAGGTGTAGAAATTAGAATCGTTTCAAAAGATTTACGAATATGAGGCGACGTCAAACTAATGTTAAAATAGTACATGTAACATTTTTGAATAATGCGTTCATTACTAGGGTCGTTGTATACAATGGCATGTGGCGTGGTATCGCGGGCGTCGGGACTGATAACCCATAACCTCGCCGCACTGTGCTCGATCTGCTCGCTCACGCCCCTCGCATCTTATCACGTGCTTCGGTTCATAATTATTCACACAACATAACCAGTGAAGTGACTCGACCATCAATCTTCGCCATGGCATTCGAGTTTACTGTCAAGGCAATTTCGGATAACGATTCATATTTATATCGCACAAGAAACAAAACTTCCGAAATCATCATTCATTTGCGACAAGTTTAATATTTATATGATACATACATTAACAAATATTTTTATAGATATATTGTTATTATCTCGCAATTGTAGAAATTAAGATAATATTATCTTGCTTGATAAGCGGAGTTACACAACATACTCTAATTTATTTGAGATGTGTTAAAATTCATGTCAGATTTTAATGGCACTTTTATAATCTAAAGCTATGATTAAAATGGTGTTATTGCACTCGTAAATGTTTTTCCTACTGCCTACATATATTATGAATGAGTTTTACGCTAACTATCTATGTGTAAAGAATTACAGATTTAACAGCAAGCTATATACATAACAAACCATGAAGACGTATTGGTATTTAGTCATTTTCAATTTTTTTTAAATAGGAGCGCCAAATCCGTTATGTAGTCAGTTACTAACTCCCTAGATAACTATCGAATAACTAATTCTTATGAATGAAATGGTTTTCACAAATTGGACAGTTGAACGTTTCAAACTACGGAAGTATCGTTAAAGTAATTTCGTAAACGAATTGTAATGTAAGTTAAAACCAACTGTAGCACTTGCGTGGGTACTCAAGGCCAGGAAGCACATGGTCACTCAAAGGCCAATACTCTAGCGATTCGATGTCATAAAATTAGATAGCCGATCTAAATATTCAAACCTTTTATGTAACTTTACGATTGTATGACGAGAATTAAGACAATAGCTGCTCATTATGTATTGGTTGCGTGGAAAATTTCTTGTCACGACTCGGCCGATAGCAAACATAACTAAAAACAATAACGTGCTCATTATAAGTCAGTCGGTACAGTAAAGTACAGTGCTTAGGTTTCCTAGACTGTCAACAAGTGTAAGATCGGAACGTCACGCAACACGTATTGACTATTGACACAGATGCAGACCTCGATAACACTGCCGCGACCGATAACACAAACCTCAATAAAGGTTCACGATGATTTTAATATAAAACATTTCCGTTCATATAACTTTCAGCGGAAAGCGTGCTCCCGCCAATAATTAAAATTATGCAATTTTTTACTTTTATCTTACGAAGGTTGCCGCTACATATATGGTGTAATACCTACATATTACCTTTAGGTACACAGCTATTTTATTATTCATATGTACTTGACTTACATTTGTCAAAAATAGATTTTGTGAAAGTCGTCCCAATGGTCTTGGGAGTGAGCGAAAAACTCCCACTTATCATCTGTGCGACATTCTTGGAATTGGTGTAATTAGCGTACCGAAGCTTACTCGGGGCCACATGTAGACAATTAATTGCGAATCGGAGGTCACCGGTAAACTGTATTTATGGTTTAAATTGTTGCAGTCAACGTACCGTTAAGATGGAATGCAATACCTATCTACAATGCATTTTACAAGCCATGTTAAGGACGTCTAGACTAGACTATCTATGTTGTATTCGTATTACTACAGTATCTACACAAGGTTTTTTGCTTGATGCCAAATATTCTTCAATTTTACACTATAAGAATTCGATGTCCACGGATTTTGGATTTGTGCCCGCGCATAACTAGGTTATAAGATCAACAACAAATCGTTTCTGTACATTATTTACGATTTCATGTGAATTTGTTTTGATTGCGTTCAATATGACATTTCATTGAACTCGGAGCACAGAATTATTTTAGTATTTCAGCAAAAGCGGAGTAGGTATAAAAGTCATGAAGCTAACAGCATAAAGCAATCTCAAAAGTTTATTTACTTAAAAAAAATGTTTTCTTTGTTGAATCTGTAATTCTGTATTCAAATAAAAAATGTTACATTGATACAAAAACAAGACCATTCATTTTCCTGACTTTGTTTGTATCAAAATAGAACGACGAAAATAATGTTATTGAGAAAATTGGTGTGGACTGCGGAGAATATTGTGATAATTATAAATGTTCCAAATAATCTGACATACATTTTGGTATAATATTGTTATATACATATTAATATACTACGTATTAGCTGTACACCGAACTGCTTTAGGTGCCTTAAGAGTATTTTACAGGTCACTGACCTAGAAAACCGCCCTCAATTATTACACTTGTAATTATGAAAGTGTATCGACAAAGAAAACTATGATGAATTGATTTGGAAACATTCTATCACCGCGAGAAATATAAACTTCACATTTTATTATACATCATGCTAATGTTTTTTTCTTTTCCCGCCGATAATCTCCAAATTTACCTAAGCTCAATAACGAACCAAAAAAGTAACTTTAACTATACCTCTTTAATGCACTAAATAAAGTTACTGAATATAAAAATATAAAGTTTCCTCATATTTATTTCCAAACATAATTTTCTACATTTTTAAAATATATAAAAGTGTATATAAAAACTTTTTAACTAAGATCTCTGATTAGGTAACCGACCAAACCGATTCTTTGATTGTTTATAAAATCGGATTCTAATCTCAATATAACTGACGTAAATGATTGAGATGAATGTTAAATAGATCACGGAGTTGCTAAATAAATGTAAACATAATAATGTATTTTTGTATATGTCGTTCAGAGATCATCGGTGTCAACGCGGACGTGAGACTAAGATCGAGGGAAACTGTCCGCCAAAGAAAAAGTAGCACACCGTTCGGTTAAATCGGAACACGTTGTAATATCATGCGCTCTTAGACTAAATGCCAGTGAATACAAAAACAACGACATGACAATACAAAATAAATATTTGGCCGTGACAACAATAGGCTACAGTAAACTTCGGAGTCTTCGGATCATGATGCCATACCCTCTAGGTAGGGTAGCTAAAGAACACAT